ATTTGTGGTTTGTTAATAGTGTTGATTTAGCATTTGCTCAGCCTTTAAAGTTTTCCTGCCAAGCTACCACCACACTTTGTTTTACTGCATGATTTAACATAGCAATTTTTATGCTGATCAATTTTCTTCTTTCTAAAATATTATCAATTTGTGTTATTTTGGTAGCAGTACATGTCACTTTTGTTTTTTTATTGTAGGTATATGCGTGAATATGTTTTACTTGTGAGAGATCATTGCTCTCTTATTTGTGTCGATGACAAACATAAAGTCAAGGTAGGGGAGCCAGGGTTTCCTGTGGCCTCAGCAGAAAGGGGGAGGAGAGTAGCAGTGCGTGCTGATGAAAATTTTGTAGTGGGAGACCATGATTTTACGAAGTTTGGGCTTATTCCATCAGTGACTTTTATTATCAAGATTCCAGATGAAATTTGTGGTTCATGGTATGATGGTAAGCACATGTATTTTCAGTTTGATATTATCTCATTTTTCCAATATTTTACAGGTAAAGTGTATGTTGGTCTTAAAGATTCAGTGTTTGAACCTTCCTCTCCTATTTGCCACATGACGGAATTATATCAGACTATTTTGAAGACTGAAACTCATAAAAGCCTATATTATTTATATACTCAGACGGTGGACCAGACCATTGCCTGACATACATCTCAGTTCAGCTGTCTTTAATATGTCTCTTTATTAAGCTAGACCTGGATTATCTTTGTGCTTGTCGCACTGCACCTTATCACAGTTGGAGAAATCCGATTGAGCGAATTATGTCTATTTTAAACTTAGGATTGCAGTGTGTAGGACTTGCAAGGGAGCAGATGACTGAGGAGTTTGAGAAAGAAGCAGAAAAGCGAATTCGTTATCAGAGTTAAGAGCCATTGCATCACAAACCAGTGGATTGAAGCAGCTGTTGCAGCTCACTTTCACTTGTAAAATCTCTACTTCATAGTATTTTTAATCGTCTCAAGCTTCACGATGACTATATTCACACATTTGATTCTGCGTCTACAAATGATATTAGTGATTTTTGGACATCACTTGCTATTGATTGTACTTTAAAGGAAGAAAATCACTACACAAAAGCTAATTTTTCAGAATATAAAGATGCTCTTACATTTGTTCAGCATTGTTGTGAAGCTAACCACTACTCATTCGATATTTTGAAGTGTGGTAGCAGTATATGCCACATTTGCAAGCCAGTTCGACTTCCAGAGGACACTTTTAAGAAACTTAGGCACATTCC